ACAGTTATTTTACTTACATTTATTTCGAAACTTATCGAAGGAAAATTAAACAAGAGGGCCCAAGTTTACATATATTACAACAGCACTACTGGGGATTTTTGGTTTTTATATGTATGTAATTACTGAGATCACAAACATGGAAATTGAATTACATATTTATAATTTAGCAAATTTATACAAACCTGTGTTATAATTCATGCTTGTTTAGCAATTAAATTGCACAATTTGATGTTTTTTACTTGGAGGTATAATCACGTGGTGAAGTAACATAATTATGTAATATACAACAGTGCACTTTCTGACATATTTCGTTTGTGATATGGGTGTACTATAATTTAATTAGCATGAAATATAAGTCATAGCATTATTTAATTTAAATCTGGCATGTGTACATTATCATTCAATAAATTTCCTGTAGAACTGAAAACATGAGTATATTATTAAACCACATAACATACTGCTCAGTTACAATACAGCTGTATGTTAAGTGTCCTACTGTCCTTCATTATGTGATAATATATGAGGCCTATCATTTGATTAATTTTCTGTATCTGGGGGTATATGATGTTAAGCAACATAGCATAGAATTTTCTAAGTTAAAGTTTGTAATACGGCTACGATAATCATTTTTAATGAACACCATTGACGAGAATGCTGCTTCACAAACATAAGTGGTTCCAAATTGTACCAGAACCTGGATAGCTCGATTTCTTACAACTGAATGTTTCTTTCCTAAATTAATCCAAAACTTTCCTGTCATTATACACATCAAAGCTCACCCTAGCCTCGTTGTCACCTTGCAATTCTGCCATTTTAAGTGCAAGAAAACCACACTGATTTGCATCTGTTTTGAATGGAAATTGAACAAAATCAAAAGACTCATTCGGCAACTCTGGGAATCTGTCACTGAAATTCACAGTCAGATTTTGCAAATATTCCAGGAGATCCTTTTTCTCTTCCATGAGATCCAGTGTTTCGTCAAAATCCACATCCATCGTAGCTGTAAATTCCAAGTAGTGGTGAAAATGAGAGAAACTGTCGGCTTCAGCTTGTTCTCGTAGTATCGTCAGCTTGCTGACAATAGCTTTTACTGCACATTGAAGTTCAGTGTTGAGCTTATTAACGTTCTCAAAAACATCCGTCAGAATTGCAAGGCGAGCAAGAAAGTGGGGATCACGAAAACAATTCGCATTCTTATGACCCCGATCTTGCAGGAAGGATGCCAGTTCACTGCGAAGGAGGAAAACCCTTTCCAAGGTTTTTCCCCGTGACAGCCACCTGACAGCAGTATGCATCAGCAGAGTGTGGTGATTACAATTTTCAGCAATGCACAACTGCTTGAACATGAGGGAATTCAGGTCCTTAGCCTTCACGTAATTAACAGTTGCAATGACTACCTGCATCACATCAGAGAAGCTCTGAGACATGTCTTTTGATGCCAGACTCTGGCGATGGATGATGCAGTGGTTTGTTTTAATGTGAGGATGTTTTCTTGGTAAAATTCCAGGCAATCCATTGTTCTTGCCCATCATTGATGGGGCACCATCCATGCTGCATTCAGTTACCTTACTCCATTCCAAGTTGTTTTCAGTGAAGAACTTATCTATAGCACTGAAAATATCCTCGCCTCGTGTTGTAGTTTCAAATGAAATACAAGCAAGCAGTTCCTCAGCTACTGAGGATTCCTTAAGAAATCATCCGAAGATCAGAAGCTGCGGCTCTGATGTAATATCAGTTGACTCGTCCACTGCCAGGGCTGTCCATGGGGAATTTCTGAAGTCTTCCAAAATTTGCTCTTTCAGGTCTGCTGTAAGACACTGGAGGCGTCTTGTCATTGTGTTATTACTCAGAGTAGCATCTTCAACAGCTTCAGTTATCTTTTTTGCAAATGGTTCACCCTCAAATACTTCGCAAAAGTTCCTTAAAGTTGGCTTTAGGATTGCCTCACCCTCCGTGAAAGGACGTTTTTGCTGAGTAATGAGAAAAGCTGTCTTATATGAGAACATTTCCATCCTTTCCTTGTGGGATAGTGCTCTGCTTAAAATTGACTGAGACGGTTAGATTTTTGTGACGATGATGAAAAATTCTTTTGCGAGCCTCTTCGCTACCTTTGATCTTGCGGCATCTTGCCGATGCTTGGGAAGTGTCGGCAAGATCAAATCATCATATGTTGCGACCTGTCACCTGGCCTGACAGTCACTGACCGGCCCCACCCTATACTGGGGGTGGAGGTGGGCGGGGTACTGCACAGCTCAACTGTTCTAGGTTAGTGGTGGGAGAGTGGGAGGGACTGGTCAGTTACTCCACCCATCCTCTCCCCATGTGACCTGAGCTGGCAGACCCAAAGGACCCCATCGACCCCATGACCTCTTTGTGACCCTACCTAATGAGCCTTCCGACCCCAGGTTTGGGAACCCCCGCTCTAAAGTCTAAACATTACACTTCTACGCCCTTAACTCATGAGACATAAAGGCAAGCATGAACTTATCATGCTTCCCTGTTGGGCACTATAAACGCTTCTGCGCTTCACCTTACACAAGGGTGTAGGGAAGTGCCCAATACAAAAAAAACAAAAAAACAAAAAACAAAGAACCATACACTTCGCAGAATCAGGACCTCTTATCTGTAAACACGCCCCCCCTCTAATGTTTGTTTGGATAGGGCAGCAAACGTCAGCACTTGATGCCAGCACTGACGCCAGTGGCGATAACACTCCCGGCGGTAAACACCGCCCCCCCCCCTTAGCCATCACATCTGGCGAGGTTACAGGCCCCCCTGGGGGGAGGGGACACGTGGTCCCAGGCTGAAAGATGTAAAGTTTGTTCGGGTAAGGCAGCAAAAGCCAGCACTGACGCCAGCACTGTCGTTGAAGCCAGCAGCGAAAACATACACTAAATTCTGTAGCTGGGTCACTGACGCACAGCTGCATGATATTGGTTAAAAGTTATCTCCAGACATGTAACCAGACTACCTTGTGTGCTCACTGCATCTCACACACTGCCCTCATATGCCTTGTCTCTACACTGTCCTCACACAAACTGTCATCCTATAGCAAAAACCCACATCTGGCCACCACATCTCATTCTCTTATCGAGCAGCTGATGGAATTGTCGCTGACACTTCAAAATACAATCCTCATGTCTCTCTCCTCCCTCTCCCCCTGTCCTTCCCTTCCTACTGCATCTCATGTCCCATAAGATGAGGTAACATTTACTACTACCATAATCCTCTCTAACACGACAATAAAGTTATAAGCATCACTATATAATTCTTGCCCATGAACTGTAGATATATCATATACTCACATGACTGCTGTTATATACTGTAGATATTTATCTGTTACAATGTACTTCATTTATGAGGTAGGAAGAATGTTAAGTGCAATCATAGATATAAAAGACAAGTATACAGTACATAAGAAGGTAGTGTATAATAGACAAATGTATGTAATAGATCAGTGGTTATAGGAGACCAGTGTATAATATACCGCTGTATATGGTAGATGAGTGCATATAACAGATTAAATATATAATAGATCAACAGGTATGACAAATAGACCCTCAGTTCGTTTCACAAGATGATTGAAAACCATAACCCTACTTGGGGGGTAGGGTTAGGTTAAATTGGGTTGAATTACTGTTAGGGTGGTTGCATAAGAACATAAAAATGGAGGAAACTGCAGCGGGCCTATTGCCCCATACTTTGCAGTCCCATTTACACCAAACCTCTATCGCACATATATCCATCCAGCCTATGTTTGAAGCTATCTAGCGTATGATGATGTTTGTTAACTTATTCCACTTGTCCACTACACTATTTCGCGCCTATATATGAATTCTTTCTTGGGATTCTATATCCATTCTGTAGTACAGTGACCAGGATTGAACTGCGTAATCCAAGTGAGGTCTCACAAGCGCAAGATATAGTTTTAGGAAGACCTCGCTAGTCTTGAAACTAACACTCCTTTGTATAAACTCAAATACTTTGTTAGCTTTGTTTCGAGCAAATACACATTGTTTACCCGGCTTAAGATTCCTACTTATCATTACTCCTAAATCTTTCTCACAGTCGGATTTCTCTATAACATCATTGTTCATCTTGTATCTGGATTCTCTGTTCACATCTCCTAGACTAAGTACTTTACATTTGTCCACATTAGATTTCATCTGCCATTTTGCAGACCACTTACCCCACAAATAGCCATAGGTAACTTACCTAGTGGCTCAATTAAACCAATAAATGATTTGATCCGACTGGAGGAAACCCTGTTTCTCACCCAGCCCAGTTGAATCACCTCAGGGAAAAGAAACCGCACCAGTTGAAACAACAACAAAATGCTATGACAGCATCCACAGTGCACAGTGCACCCGAACCAACACTAATTAACTTCCCCAAGTACAAGGGAGAGCAATAAAATTAGCACAACAAAAGGAAGGGATAAGCACTGAACAACACTTACTTCCGGGCCACAGACAGTAAGCGGCGCGCACACGGCGACTTACAACAAACACCGGAACGAATGTAAGCCCACAGAAACCAAGTTCAGAGACAATCCTGACATGGTCACCACTTGTAAAGGCCTGGGACTTAGGGAAAGAAACCTCTTACCAGTCTAATCAGGATCTTATAAAAGGAAAGACAAGGACCATGGTTTTCTGAGGAATAACAAACAACCATTTGAGATTGACATCTCTTTACTATAAAAATATAACACAAAACTCTGACACCACTCAACAAACATGAAATAACAATTACTGGAGTCAAACAATTAAAAGGATCAACAATTTATGGAGTCAAACAATTACTGGAATCAAACAATTAATGGAAGCAAACAATTAAGGGAAGTCAACAATTAATGGAATCAAACAATTAATGGAATCAGTCAATTAATGGGAGTCAACAACCGATAGAATCAAACAATAAAAGGATGTTAGCAATTAATGGAATCACACAACAATAGAATCAAACAATTAACAGATATTTCTTACGGCAGCGGCCCAGGGGAAGATTCTGAAACGCTCTGAACCACACTCAGGGGGAAGGTCCATTCAGCTCCTCACTCGAGCGACAGCAGCCGATGTCTTGATACAGCAGGAGAAACACCGGGGCACAGACGTAGGAGATGAACTGACGGTCGTGGCAGCCGAGGTAGTGGTATGGGGTCCAGAGATTGACAGTCGATAGGTGAAGGTATAGGGACACATCCCACGAGTCCAGAGCCTTTGATGAGAACACCACCAGAATTTGTAAGAGCAGCGAGAGGGAGGTGTGTCTGATTGGAAGTCTGGGTAATGTCTGAGCCAGTGACACTGGTAGCAGCGACCTCCTCACCTCCGTCAAACCCCTTCCCCCCCCAAGTGTGGGACGCGCAAGCAAACGAGCGAGTGGGCAGCGGTAACGGGCAGGAAGATTGTTACCGCCCTTACAAAATATATATATATATATATATATATATATATATATATATATATATATATATATATATATATATATATATATATATATATATATATATATATATATATATATATATATATATATATATATGTAATATTCAGAGTAATTTCGAATACCCCGCCATTGGCGATACTGAGCGTTCAAGGTCGTCGGAGGGAAGAGAGCGCTCCCTGCACATAGCGAGAGTTTGTGGAACTAGGCCTATATGATATTAAATGTAATTTGCCGAATTAATAATGATGCGATTCATGAAGTTAAGGGAATATTATTGAATTTGAAATTATTACAGATCGTTTATCAGTCTGAATAATGTTACGGGTGTCCCAAGGAGTTATTAGTTAGGCGGAAAATATGTCACGTAGGCCTAAGCTAACGCCTTGAGAGGAGACGTGACGCTGGCTGGTCCTCAGTCACGGGGAGCATTCAGACAAACAAGACGTCCCTGCGCGTCCGTCACAGAAATAGTCACGTGGCCTAGTCACCTGTGCTGCGCTATTGCAGTATAACAAGTAAGTCTCATTCGATCTCAGACAGCGTTAGATAGGGCAGTGGTAAAGTCAACTAGCGCTAACAGTGAGTTCATTTCAGGGTTTCCGTCAGAACCCACTTGACCGGAGTTGACCGGAGTTGACCGGAGTTTGACTGCGAGAGATTGACTGCCGTTTGAGACTGCCTTTGATGATTGAGGGTGGCGATTGTCGCCATTGGACCGATCAGTGTAGGCCTGTCACTGTTTAGCGGGGTATCAAAGGATCTCTTGAGGGAATCTAGCCGTCTGGGTGCCCAGCTGACGACGGGACGATCGTTGGGTCAGCAGCTCTCCTCTACCTCGGCTCACAACACCACATGTCTCGAGCAGCTTAGTGAAACCCTCCTGCTAACGGGAAGCTAAAGCTTCTCTCAACTGTACAAGGTCTGATTGGCTCACTCCCTTCCGCTTTATGGACGCACTGGGAGTACACTGAGGCTATCTGAGTAAATTAATGGTCACACACTGAGACCACGAGTCTAGGACTCTAGGAGATACCTAGAGGAACATTTTATCTCCCTTACTACGGGTGTATGTTGAGTTGGGTGGAGCATGGTTCACGAG